GCAGTCTACTAATTCAAATGTTACTCTCATTCAGAAACTCTCTTACAGACACACCCAGAATAATTGACCAAATATCCAGGTTCAGTCAAGTTGACACAAAATTAACCAGCATACCATCAAACCATCAATCAATTCTGAGTGCCGAGTACGGCCATGCTCTGTGTCTCCTAGGCGTCTAGTACTGCAGCTGAGAAGTCTCAGGCTACTCTAATTTTGGGTCTATTTTATATAAGCTGGTATTTTTACTTATAATCTGGATGCTTTAAAGACTTTCTCACTTCCTGGGAATTGAAATATCATGTTGTTATGTTTGCTGTGAGACTTTTTTTTTTTAATTCACTATACTGGGTACCTCAGTGAATCTTTTTAATCTGGGATTTCAAGGCCTTTAGTTCTAGAAAATTTTCTTGTATTCTTTCTTTGATACTTTCCTCCCTTTCCATGTCCTACTTTTTCTTTTTTCTAAAACTCATATTACTTAGATTTTGAACCACTTGGACGGATACTTTCATGTTCTTATCTTTTCTCTGCTTCTTTTCCTTCTCTTTCTGTTGAACTTTCTAGAGGATTTCCTTATCTTTATCTCACAATATTTCTATTACATTTTTTATTTCCACCAATATATTTTAGTTTCCAAGATTTTTTCTTGATCTCTGAATAACCTTCTCCCCGTCTGCTCCACCTTTTCTTTTTTTTTTAAATAGCCCTGTTCTTCTATAGAAACAATTTTTCTAATATCTCTGAAATTATTATCCTTCTTTCCTTCCTTTCTTTCTTCCTTCCTCCCCTCTAAAATTTTCATCCACTCCTCATTACCCTGTTTCTTCTAACGCCCTTTCTTTGTTTAAGTTTCCTTCACATTGGTGGATTTCTCCACTCTCTGGTATAAGTGGGCTTATCAACTGCTTGGGCTTCACTTCAGAGTAGTTAAGCAGTGAGCTTTTTTTCACGGCCCTTCAAATATTAGTACCTGTACATCTTTTTTTCTGGCCATTTAGTTTCTCCAAAGACAAATCTTTCAACCTCTCCCTTGGGAGTGCAAGCATGGCTGCTAACATTTTGGGAGCTAAATAGCGGACGAATGGGTGTGTGCGTGCGTGTGCATCCGTGTCCTCACAACAAACTGTAATAGCTTCAGAGAGATTTAGGAAAATTGTGTCTATAGAAGAAGAATAAGGCTATTTTTTTTCCTTTTTGTCTTTTTTCGTGACCGGTAATGGGATCGCAACCCTCAGCATCGCGCCCGCACCGCCACTGGCAACGGGATCGCAACCCTCGGTGTCGCGCCCGCACTGCGC